TTAGTGTTACTTTGTTGTTCACATAAAGTTATTTACCCATTTGACTTTACGTGCAAATTCATTAACACAAATTTAATAAAGAATTCTTCTGCTGTACATCGGTTGGTTCAAAGAATCATTTCCATTTGCAATCCTGGCGCGTATACATGTAACCATTGGGTCAGTTTAATTATTTAATTTTTTTCATTTTCAACGCAGCCGGACTCAGCAATGGCAATAATTGAAAAATAATAATTGAAACAAACAAACGATCCAAATAACATCAGCTTCATAAATTTCATTCACAAGCATTTGTACCTGCAAATGCACCGTCGTAAAATATCGTGCCTATCTACTGCGGCTCCAAGCTGAATGGGACAAACCGAAAATCCATGTTCGATGTTATCATATGCTATATATTCTTATTAACTCTATAGTAATATATATATATATATATATATATATATATATATATATGGGACAAACCGATATATATATATATATATATATATATATATATATATATATATATATATATATATATATATGTCCAACCCGTCAAAATTAAAAATAAAAGAAGCTCTTTTTTTACTCACTAATAAACCAAGGATCCGACAACTTTGCCCACTTCCTGCAACTCTTCACTCAATACCGCGACACCGTTCTATCCCAGTCACCTAAGACGTCAACAGTAAACAAGTTTTTGTCTACCCCAAATATGAATTCAGCAAACCCACACTGGAACCAACCGCTGTTAATCACCCGTTTTTATCTTCACGCCGCCGTTTTCAAATAATTAGCTCATTAACATCATTATTCGAAACTTGAAATTTAAAAAAAATTTATGAACCTAATTATTTCATTTTGTTTTTATATATTGTTATATTTATATCCTATCAAAGATTCAATTTAATTATTTCCAAAAATTCGACAACACACAAATAAGTTTAACTTTCCATAATTTTAATCATTATATCATCAATCTGACAAACTTTTTTTTCACAGTTACTTATAACAGTAGTTACACGTCACCAACCAAACTTTTAAATCTATGATACTACGATATGCAAAAATTTTAGTTTATCCGTAACTATTTTGTTTAATGTTTAATTACTTTATTTCAATTGTTTATAATATGTTGATTTTACAAAGGTTTATCACACATGCTGACATTTATTTTAGGCCACATTTATAAATAACTTTTAATTGGTTTTAATGGTTTAATATTTTTTATAATTCAATTCAATAATTAAATTAAATAATTAATTCATGTCAGCCAAATCATGGACTTAAATAAATATGAGTCTGATAAATTAATTACGTCTTGTTGAACTTTTATTTAAAAAGCAAATAACTACAAATTGGGGTATTATTTTTAATCGAACATGTCTTTCTGAAAATCTTGCACCAAATTATATATATGTATATATAGAGCGAGAGAGTGTTTATATATCGCTTTTTGAATGAAGTCTTTCAAAAGCGCCCCCAGTTTATCTTACTATCGTGGAGTTGGTTGGAACACCTCATGGAGTTATGATTCAACATCGTTTCTTTTGAATGACACTCTGGTCTTACTCAGCTGTCGACCCACAGACCTCCGTTGCCTGCCAGGTACTCCGTGCATCGACGCAGAGGCTGAAGTGGACTGGAATGGTGCTGCCGTCAGTTACAATTTGTTGTGATGTCTTCGGCTTGCTTTGCAACTTTTTTTTTAGTGCTATGATAAAGTGATAAACTGTGTTATTGTAGTTGTTGTTGTTGTTGCCTTGTTTTTTTGTTGGTGGTAGTGATGATGATGATGATGCTGTTGATATCGTCAGTTGTGTCTCTTTGTTGAAGAATAATTTTGTATTAAGAATGGGGATGGCTCGTTCATCTTATTATCTGGATCTTCCTACTGTTCTACACACACCCAGACACGCAAACGATGAAAAGATTTTACTAAAAAATTTGAAGGTAGATAGAATTGAACTTATGATTAAGCAAAGTGAGTTGTGGTTACGATAGGAACCGAGTAAAATGGATTATCAAATTAAAACTATGAAAGAAATTTATTATAGATTGGAAGGAACTTCTCAGCTGTTTTCCCTTACAGCACCTCGGGTGATTTATGATATATTAAAATTCCTCTCATACTTTCCTCTTTCGATGTTAACAACCTCCTTCTTTTAACATCTTCAGTTTTTTGTTTTTCTGAAAATTATTTTCTCTTCTGTTAATTTTTTTGAATTTTTTTGAATTCTTTTAAAATGTCTTCAGTAGTTTCGGGTGACTGCCATTTAAATGTTTTCATTAGTTTGGCTTATTGAATTTTTATGTATGCTTTTTTTCTTTATTTTTTATTATCTAATTATCATTTTATTTTGGTTTATTATATTTTATGTTATTGGTGTGACTGGTAATTAAATGTCTCCAGTAGTTTGGGGTGACTACCATTTAAATGTTTTCAATTCATTTTCAAAATAATATTCTGCCTCTTGTCCAATTTCAGATGTTTCAACAGTCATGATTTAATGGCCAAAAATTATATTGAAGGAGGCTTTCTTAGTCTCCACCTGACTTTGGTACACACCATCACGTGTGTGCTTGCTCCTTTAATAACATATCTCGTTTGGTATAACAGTTTGTAATAATCACGGTTAAAATAACATTTTTAATTGACAATTTAAAAAATAAAAAAAAGGTTTTCACTTAATGTTCAACTTAAAATTTAATCATCTTAATAACTCAAAAGAAGAAAAAGTTAAAGTTAGGGTAAGGATCTAGGTTTCAATGCCTTAAGTGACCTTTAATCTTTAAATGTTTTAAAGTTAGAAAAATGTTGTAACATATTCTTCAACCACTCCGAAAATTAAATTTCATCATTGTTAGACGCCATTAAGTCAACAACATATCAAATAAGTGAATAAAAGTTATGAAGTTGAATATGTGGAGACCGAATAAGACAGCATATATGTATGTATGTATTTATTTATTTTATTTATTTATTTGTTTATTTTTATGTATATATATGTGTGTGTGTGTGTGTATGTGTGTATATGTGTGTGTTTGTGTGTGTGTGTGTGTGTGTGTGTGTGTGTGTGTGTGTGTGTGTGTGTGTGTGTGTGTGTGCAGTTTTTGTTTTGTTTTGTGACTCAGTAAATTAACAGACACTCACGCTTTTAATTCATCCAAAAGTTTTTTCGATGAAAAACACGTGACTCATGAATATTAATTTGATACACTTCTTCATATCTCGCACCTAAAACAGATTTTCACCTCAATTTTAAAACAATCTTTCTGGTCGTTTTGTAAGTAATAAATTTTTAATGTAAAGTCATTTGCCCGTGTTGTTGACTTGTCATAAGGAGATAATCAGATCTAGTTGTTGACATTGTTTTGTTTAAAGTAAGTGTCACATGTTGCAGTTGGCGTGATGTGTTGTTTGTCAGCTGCGTGATTAACATGTCACCATAGGATTCCGCCGCACACGTTCTATTCATTTTTTATTTTTCTGCTGAAAGTACCCCATGAGAACAGAAGCCAGTAAGTTTTTTGAATAATTTCTGCAGGGTATTGCTTTTTTCAAATTCTTTTTTTTTGATAAGTGCATTTCGATGTGACGTGACTGAATTTAATTCGAAAAAAAAACAATAAAATTTATAAGAGTTACCAATATTTCATTGAGCAAAACTAACAAATAAACTTCAACAGCTGGAAAAGTAACAAGGGATCAGCAGGCACATTTTATGTGGCAACCAATTGCAAAAACAAAAACTTCATCCGCTTCGGAGACCCACAACCAATTATAAGAAGGATAAGTAATATTAATGCAACAAAAACAGAACTTGTGAGCAGTGCGGATCCAAGGTGAATGTGTGGGGATGAAAGAAGAAAATAAAGAAAGATCTTCACTATTTTCATGTTCCTCATATTCTCGTGTGTAATAAAGTGAATGGAAATTAACAAACAAACGTCATCAACTGAGAATTTTAAAATCATCTCCCAACTGAAACGTGTGTGTGTGTGTTTGTGTGTGTGTGTGTGTGTGTGTGTGTGAGCGCGCGCGTGTAAATAAAAAATAAATTAAAAAGCTAAAATTAGAGAGGAACATTTTGAAAGTCAGCCGTCAAAAATTTTACAACACGACGAACGAAAAAAAACAAATGATTTGATAATTTTGAAAATAATATTGAAAAAAAATGTAGATTATTTTGTAGGCTTATTTAAAAAAAGCATAAACCGTTTCACAAAACATGTTACAAAATCATATTCAACGTGGCACGGAAGGTAATAGAATGTAGGAGGTGAAGACGAAGTGAGCAACAGTCGTATAAAAATATGAAGTCTGAATTTTAAAAAAGCCTGTTTGAATGTAAAGTACGGAGAGGGAAGATCCTGTTGAAATGCATCAACGAGGCCAGCCGTTTGCGAAAATATTTTTGTCAAATCTGGTATGAACGTTCGCGGGGTCAACCTGTAAAAAGATTGGCAAGCAAGTTGAAAGGAGTAGGCTGGTGTTGAAAGGGGTAGGCTGGTGTTGGAAGAGATAGGCTGGTGTGGTGGCTCGCAGATCATCAAAAATTGACGACTTGCACCGACGGATGCTTACTATCGTTACTTTCAGTTACTTTTAACAAAAACCACCTCCTAAAAAATCACGCTTCAAAATTGTTCGGTGAAAAATATTTTTCTTCTTAGCAAAATATTTTTAAAATTTGAATTGCAAATAATCGGCTATTGAAAGCAAAACACGCAACACCTTCCCAAGCAATCATCAATTTCATTTGCGCTCTTCAGGACTGTCAACTTTTTGCACACTCGCGTGAGTCGTCTGCATTTTTCTTCAAATTTTGTAAACACTTCACTCTTATTTTGCTTCAAATCATTTATTACTTGTTGTTTTTAATTAGTAATACGAATATAAACATCTAACATCATTTTAATCACAAGAACATGTCCAAATATATATTATTTTGGCTATATATATATATATTATATTATTTTGGCTATATATATATATATATATATATATATATATATATATATATATATATATGTTGGTAATAGACCATAATTTTTACAATATTCTATAAATTCTACCGAATGTTTGGCGTTAATAAACGGCGTTAATTCACCAAAAAAACTTTAGTGAGAAAAATTGAAAAAACGAACTACAAACATATTATATATTATATATATATATATATATTCACATTATATATATATATGATCTATAATATTTTCGAAACGAAAAGAAGTGAAACAGCAAGCACAACAACAAGGTGCTGTGTAAAAGATATTTAAAAAATCAATATAAGAAGAATTTCGGATTAGTTTAAGAATTCAAATGCATACAAGAAGCAAAGCGCCGACCACATTTCGTATCGACCGCATCATCCATCTCGCTGCGATGACATTAACGATAACCTGAACCCGGGCATTAATAAAAACATCAACGCTGCAAGCTATCCTGCCCGAAAATATAAAACTGTCCAGGAGAACATCTTAAAGAAGGAGAACAGCCGCAATAAATAGCATTTCCGAATGGCAACTTGAATTCAACCAGTCCCCTGCATGCAAATGAAATGAAACCACGCAAAAGGGCACAGTTGAAAACACACACACACCACCACATTGCATCGCTTCCTTCCAACGCACCCACTGCCACCTCACGAATTCGCCATCCTCCTAGTTTCATATCAACAATTCTTTACCGTGTTTCATTTTCTTACTTTTTTTTATGAATGATTTGTCTAATTCTTATTTTTAATTAACTAAAAACACTTTCCACTTAAAACTAATTAATTATTTTTTAATTACAGGCCAAATTTAATTAAAAACAACTCGCTTGCTGTTCAGGAAATTCAATTTTTTTAAAGAAGGCACTCGACAGTAGAGCGTGCATTAATTACATTTTGTTTATTTTATTCTCATTCGACCGCCTTTAATGAAAATCATTTTTTGTTTTTATGCGTTTTACAGTCAAAGATTTTTACTTTTCAAAAATCTGTAACACTTGGATTGGAAGACGAGGTGACACGCAAGCAACAGCGACAATAGTAACAACTGTTTAAAACAAATGCCAAGCAAAACACCATCACTTCTGCATGTTGAGCATCACACTGTAGACTGTTGGGTGTATTGAACAAAGAACGAACAAATAATTTAAAATTCAGTTGAACCGACTTAATTTTACTGGCTTTCAAAACTTTTCGTCACTAATCAAAAAACCTATGTTCAGATATATAAAAAAAGCAAAAGCAACAGCTATCAATGGTATTGATTTCAAACTATCAACTATCTTATTATATGAGCCAAATTGAAAATACTTTGTCACAAACAACAGCACGAAAGAATTTCGCAATAACAATAAGACATAGCAAGCATGAGACGTGGATAGCTGGTCCTCTGGAGACAGGCATGTTTCGATGAGCCAGTGATGCATCTTCTTCATATTGGACAAATTGTTAACTCAAAGATGCCAACGCACAGAATGCCTTCTAAGGTGATTTATTGGAGCCAGGAGAGAAGTTCAGTGAAAGAGGAGAAATGAGAAGTGTTCCAAGTTATACAAACATTCCCGCATGCTTGCTGCCACATTTTCGCATACCAATGAAGAAAAAAATTTAAGTACATCAGCGGCATGTCCTCGTCATAAAACACTCATCTAATAATTTCACAACGACCATACACGCTGAACTGATTCACGTTGAAAATATTTCGCTGAGCGTCTGGTGGAGTTGAGTGAAGTGGGGGCTTCTTTGTTGATGACACCCTGCATATTGAGATATTGAGCATATTGCAGTTTAAACTTGCACATATTTCGAAATGTGTTTCTGTGCTTAAATAAATCAACCGTTATATTTATTTTTAATTTGGACTCTTAAACTGTAACTGTTAAACTTGTTAAAACTGTTGCTCTTAAAATATACTAAAATTGTTTTTGGTATGCTTCTCAAATGTTTTTATGAAATCACTATTGCCCGCTTATTGCTGTTAAATTAATTTTAATTGAAAACTTTCAGCCTGCTCTGTGAAGAAGTTCGTCAGGTCACACTTTGTTTTTAACGGCTTCAATTAAAAAATTCCAAATCAATGTTCAAAGTTTTGGCATGTTCTAATAAATTTATAATATATCTTGGTGCATGTTTTATGACTTGCTGAAAATAACCCAACGCAAATGTGACGCTTTTTCCTAAATAATTTTTTTTTTCAAGTCAAATTTGTAAAATATCAACGTAACGTTATTGGCAATTTTCAACAAATTGCACGCAAGCATAATTCGTGGCATAATTTGGATGGTCCGAGACAGTCTCATAAGCAAATGTTTCTGCAAAAAAAAGACATTTTTAACTTTTTTTTTATTACTTTTTGCCGTTAGTTGACATTAGGTTAGCACGTCCGACAAGCTAGCAACCAAAAATGACCAGATCATCGTTAATTGACGAAAGAAGAACATGGAAAGTGACACAAATAAGAAACTTTTTGAAGAAAATTTTGAAAAATATTTGCTTATCCATCGATGAATACGGAAGTTATGGAATGTGCACCTTGATTTTTTCTCGCACAGCAAGCAGTCAGAATAAACTTTATATTTCAACTAGAAAAATATTTCCAAAATATTTATGATCAACCATTAAGTTTCTTTTTTACATAATTTAACAAAAGAATTTTAGTTTTTTTTTGTTTCAAACCCTCGTAACAAATTGAAAAAGAGTAAGAGTATAAAAACGTTGAACATACAGCAGCAGCATTAATTGTTCTCATAAAACAAAACAAAATTATACGTTGAAGATCACAAATGATAAGAGACATGATAATAAAGAAGACGATGACGAATGACGATGGTGCCACTGATGATATGCAGACTATACTTGAGAGGCTCCTTACAATACCATTTTAATAGCAGTTTCAACGCACCGCCGCTCACTCACCCACCGCCACACCAAACGCCGACGTGCCATGCATGCGTCTGAATGTACGCACGCGTAAGCTTTGCGTTTCCAACGACTGAATGTGATTGGTCCGACATGCATTCCAGCGCGGTGCTACTTCACAACTGTATTACATTTATACTATCCAAGGTCAGGTGGGTTAACATATTTGAAGTTGATGATGATTGTGTATAATTGTGATATCGGTGATGATTGTGATGTTGGTATTAATTATGACGTGAGGATGGTTATGAAATTGTCACCAATTATAAAATTAATTACTAGATGAGATAAAAATTAAAAAAAAAGACATGGAGTCTATGTTGACAACGATGTTTGTAGCAGTCAAGTAGAAGTTTCATGTTGTGAGAGACGACTAAATAGATGATAATTAAAGAGTTATGGCAATTTGAAATTTTTTACAAATAAAAAATTTCATAAAATTGAAAATTTTTCTTATTTCTAAAAATAAAAAACATTCAATAAAATTCTTAATTATTTGATTATTTATTTATTTAGGAACAACATGTGGTCGGCACTCGGCAGTCATTTGATCCTGCTGCTGAGAAGAATGTTCGGTGAAAAAAAGCTAAAACTTCAAGCACCTCAAAATCATAAAAATTATTTTGAACTATTGCCATAAAATATTTATTAGATTTTGAATTATTGAAATAGTTGCCACCAGGCACTCGCATGTTCCTTTACGAGAAGGCACGTGTTTATGCGCTCTGGGAGTGTAAACATAAAAGCAAATGAATGTGTAAATACTTAAGCACATGTGTAAATACCTTAGTTTAAACCAATTTCTCAAAAATATGTGAATGTATAAATATGTGTTGTAAATTTATTTCATAAATATTTTTACTTTATAGAAACTTGCTGAATAAAAAGATCATGTTTAATTACGTGCACTATAATCAAAATGTCACAACGGATTGACTTTGAAATGTTTGCATACGAAGGCCAATTTTTATGGTAGGCTTGAAAATGCACGTCGTCTTTTCAAGCTGATTCGAACAAGAGGGTTTCACTGAATTGAAATTTTTGTAGAAAGTAAATGTTTAATTGTAAATTCAATTCATTTTTTATGTAACAATCTTTCAGTTTTTGATGGTGAATAGAAAAGTTTGTAATTGATAAACTTAATGGCTGTATTAAGCAAAATAATGTCAGTTATTAAACAAAAGAACTGTTCAAAATTAAATAAAAACAAAATATCCAAAGCAAGCCCTGGAATGGATTCTTCCTTTAATATTATATTTAATTTTTCAATTGGAAGGTCCAATTGGATTTCATAACGAGGATATTTTTGAATGATCATTCTTCTTAAATCTTAAAACATCAACATTGTAAATCATTTTGTGAGGACGTAACTAAGCATTTCGACATATTATTTTTAAAAATTTCAACACTCTACATAAAAATAAAACGAAAAAAATTAAACAAGAAAAGAATTTTCAATAAAGGAACGAAAAGTAAATTATTTCATGAAGGCAGCATTAGACGTGGCTCCAAATTTTTTTCATAAAGAAATTTCCCAACTCAACAGTTCTTCAAAACGTTCAAACTGTACTTTTCATGAACGCTCCTTATATTTCTTGAAAGGTATGAATAGAGAATTTCAAAATTGAGCGCGAAAACAAATATAAATATCATTTCCGTTAAAATAAACAACCAATATTAACCTATATATATATATATATATATATATATATTTATATATATTATTTTAAATAATACTTACGTAATAATAGGATAAAATGAATAAAATGTTGAACAAATAGAAGTTGGAAGCATAAAAATGTAAGTCATGTACGTGGCTGCTCATCTATCATCCTCACTCTTCATCATTATCGTCATGTGGTTGAGAAGAGCATCATCGTAACTTCCTCATCATATCGATAAACATTTCTGACGTTGTTATTAAATTCATACTACATCCTCTCATTATTTTCGCCGCCAGCGTCGTCAGTGCTACTGAAGTTTTTGTTATAGCTACATTTCTGCAATTTCATCATTGCCGCTTATTATTTATAAAGTTAAATCGTCAAGTCATTGTCGAGAAACAATTGATCTGTAAAATCCTACAAGCCAAATTTATTTTATTGCGTTACGTTGTTTAAAATATTAATTGTTTATTTTAATATTCTATAGTTAGCAAAAATTTTTACTAGTTAAAATCTGAAAAAATTTTGTAGCATGAGCCGACTTGCATGCACGTACAAGAAACATCTCAAGCACCATTTGACTTGTAAACTCGAGCGAAACTAGCTCGTCTGAAATTTTTCAGAAGAAACCCTCAGCGAAATTTACGATAGGATACGATCAACATCTGCATTTGTCCTTATTGGGAGTTTGTGGGAATATATGTCTTGATAGCTGCTGCACATTCATGCGTAGATCTGGATAATATTAAATTATATAATATTGATGAAATTTTATTTGAACTTTTTTGTTAACACAAAATTTTATAACAGGATTGAATATTATCCGTGCTGTTGTTATTATAATTTTTTAACATAGTGTTTTTCCTTACACTTTTTCACCACACCTGGTTGCACTAGCAGCAAATAAGATGAATGCTTGAAACCACAATCGTTTTATTTTATATTTCTGCAAAAATAAAACATGTTAGTAACTTTTCTTTAAAATAGAGCCAACAAAGTTCTTAGTTCTTAAAAAAAACTTTGAAACCATTCTTATATGTGCAGGTGACATAATTGTTTTGATATAAATAGCCTTTATATATTAATATTAGTCAAAATTTGAAAACTAATTGAAACTAAAAGTTGAATATTTTATTAGTTAACGATTATTTAAATACAAAATAATCAATAATTAATATATTTGATTAATAATTTATTCATTAAATAACACATCTTTTTAGGATTTTTTTTGCTGCCCAAGTTTAAATCAAGTTGCGGCAAAAAGACACACTACGTGGTAAATTATACTTCAAACTTTTTGAAATATTTTTCATGATGGACCTCTGACATACGCATTTTATAATTCTTAATTAACGTTCTACCTCACCAAATTAAAATAAAAATTTTGGTTGCACAGAGGTTGAAAATGTGCACACCCGCTACAACGCAGTGGCAGAGCCTGGAGATGAGTGTGGAGATGCATTCCTCGAGGTCATGAAAGATAATGCGAATGAATAGAAATTAGGGTACGGGTATTAGAAAACAAAAATTGAAATTTTACAATCATTCACCACAGCAAAATCATACTGGATCCAGCACTGCCAGTGCACACTCATTCGCTTTGTCATGTCGAAAAAAAATTTGTTGAAAAATTTAATTTAACAATGCTCTCAGAATTTATGAAGGCAAGGATGATGTCTGTTTTTTGTAATGCATGGCAGTAATAATTTCGATATTCTTTTTTTTTCTTTTCTTGCCTTATCCTTTCAGGACATTGGCGACCATTGACCTTCACAAAACTCGATTTTTAACACTTTGTAGCAGTTGAAATATGGCGATATTCAACAAGTGACACAAGGACTTCACAAATGTCATTCATTGTTGCCTGCCATCTATTTTCCCAGCAATCTTCGTCCATTAAAAATTTTTATTTTATCTTAACCTAGTGCTTATTTTGTTTCGAAAAGTTGTCAAATAGTTTATTTTCTGTTTCAGGACAATAACTTTATTTAATATGGTTTAATTAAACTTGTAAAAGTAGTCATTACGTTATTTTGTTGCAAATTTAAGTTAAGTTTCTAAAGTCACGTGTTGTTTATTGTACTACGTTGTTGGACTATCCTGCTTGTGAACTTAACAGATAGGTGTATTTTTTCTTTGCTTTTTATATCAGAAAACAAAGAATACACGTGAAAAATTTATTAAATGTACAAAATCTACGAGAGCCAGTTGATGTTTGCAATGTTGCCAATGTGAATCTATTTGCCATTCAAGCCGTACAACAATACCAAATAATGTCAGTACTTTTATACGTACAAGCAACAATGTTAAATGGTTTTGTGACATATGCATCAAGACTACAGCAAATGTCAAGTATCGCAATTAAGTCAGATGTGGAAGTTACAAGAAATGCCATTAATTCAAGTGAAGCCAGGTTGAATAAACTTGGTGGTTCAGATTTGAATGACAAAATGCAGTCATTAAAACATGATATAAAGTCAACTTTTGCTTCGGTTGTCTGTCAAGAAGTCAAAAAGAACGTTGACGTTTTCAATGCTGCAGTTAAAAACTTGCATAAAACTTTGATTGAAGCCGTCGATGTGACAGATAGAGAAATAAAGGCAGATAGTGTAATGTTGTTTCGACTGCCTGAATGTGTCAACGATAAAGACAGTTTTTTTTTAATTTTAAATTACTTAACGGATGATGCCATGTGTGACAAAATGTTCAAAAAAATGTGAGATTGGGTTAAACTTCTGCTGATCAAGTTGCACAATATCGTTGTTAAAAATCAAATTATGAAAAGCACTTTCAAATTGAGTTCTCGGGTTGATCACTACTCATGCTCAGTTGATAATATCTTGATAGCGCTTTTGTGATTCGCTCTGAATTGGCGCTTTATTGAGGTTTTCATTACTACTACTACCAATGAAAACAAAAATAAAGAATGCTTTTAAAGATATATATATATATATATATATATATATATATATGCTATTAAAGATATATACATATATATATATATATATGTGTGCATTTATAAAAATTATGCATATATATATATATATATATATATATATATATATGCATTTATAAAAAATTGAACAACAAAATGTTTTATTATTATTTATTTATATATTATTTATTTTATATATTATATATATATAAATTATTTTATTATATTAGTATACAAAAGAAACTAAATTGAACAAGAAATCGGTTGAAAAATATTTTTGTAAGTATTTGTTGCTGGCTGAAATAAGAGGCTTCACAAATCACAAATTGGTTGCTAGTTGAAGTTTCAGGTTTTTAAAATTAGTTGTACTTGTATTCTACAAGAACGTTAATTTTTTTTTATTATTTATAACAATCTCTTTATAAATTAAAATATTCATGTTAGGTTGGAATGAAATGAAGACCTATAAAACAGTTTATTTATTTATTTCTGTTTTTTTTTCTGTTTAGCCTAAATTGCACGTGCAAAATATTTTCTTGCATGGTAACTGTAAATCTCTCAATTCAGCAAAAGTATTAACATTTTCATAAATATGTTAATTTGTCAACAAATGTTTTTTTGAAAACAGATGTTTTCAGATTATACGCATTTAATGGATTTAGAACTGCTTAAAAGAAAATTAAGACTGCAAAGTACTTTTTGTCTCCTTTAATTTCTAAAACTTACCATTTTATTCAATTAAATTGTTTGATATCCACATCTGCTGCTATAGCATCGTTATAGTAAATGATTAATAAACACGTTTGCCTATTTTTATATCTATTGCCCTTTCAAATAACATTCGTTTACAAAAATCATCGTCATTTACGTTATGACAAAAAACACGATTACCATCGAAAGCCTCATTAATCTCAGATGCAAGTTCTTTATTGTTAGCATCACGACAGCTGTCGATTGAGATGGAGATGTTAATACACAGTGCTTGTCAACGAAACATTTATTGGTGGCTGTTAATTAATTTAGTACTAAATGTTTAATAATCAAAAAAGTAGTGACTACTTTTGTCCAACTACCACCTATAAGCATGATGGCAAACAAGTTTTATAAATACAAGTTTTATTAACGCAACAAAATTTACTTAATTGCTAAATTTACCAAATTTACTTATTTGCCAAAATTTACTAAAATTTGCTCTAATTACAAGAAGCAGCCTGGTCAGTAACTTTAAGCCTATTTTGGTATGTAAAAACTGAAATTGGTACGGCTCTTCCAACAACGCATGGAACTTCGCCTTTTTTTGTTTGTCGCAACTAACAACCATTATTGGAACGTTCTGTAGGTAAAACATCCGCTTGGAACAAGCTACCAGGCAATAGCCATTAACCAAAGACTTTGAGGTTTTAAACTACTTCTTGTTCAACTTCGGATTTTGATCAATACTGCAAGAAGTTAAAAATGTGAAAAACCGGACTGAAAATTTGATCGCTTCCTAGCTTGGATCAAGACTCTTTGCAAGTTATAACATTCCAAATCGTAATTCAAATCAAATAGCTAATTAGAAAAAAGTTAATTGACATAGCTCGAAAAACTTTGAAATTAGTTTTTTAAACATTTGTAAGACTCTGAGAGTTAATAAAAAGAAGCAACACATCTCCATCAATATATTAACAAATTTTTTGCCTACGCAATATTTAACTTAAATAAGTCATTCTATTTTTTATTAAATTCATTAGTTTTGTCTCTCACCAGTCAATTTCCTTATCATAATGCGTTTAACGCAGAAAGGTTTTCCTTCAAATAAAATAATTTGCCTTTTAGTTGTTTTTAGGCAACCACACAAAAAAAATTTTATTTATAGAATATGAACAACTTATAGAATTTGAGTTTATAAAAGCCTTCGATAACGGTGCAAATAATGAACCATTAAAACTCAACTCATACCAAGTCCAGGGAGTAACAAATAACTTCTACTACTGTTGTCACTATTATTATTACTGCTGTTAGTATTACTGATACTGCTACACTGCTACTATTACTAATCGTGCTTTTACTATCACTTATACAATTACCACAAATAATAATTGTAACAATAATTGTAAAATTAGTCACGTCAACTTGCATATTAGTTGAAATGTGTTGCAAATCATAGAATATAAACCTGGAATGTCAATGAAACCAAAGTTGAAAATAATGTCGTAAATTAATCTGGTGGCACTTGAAACTCAAAAAAATTTTTGACAAAATATATTAAATGTTTTTTACTCTGCGAAAAATTTAATTTACATGTAAAATTTTTTGTTGAAATATGTGAAAATTTTAGAAAAAACTAAGACATCAATTTTACTCTGCACAAGAAATTATATAATTGTTGAACAATATTTCAAAATATTTTCCAAATCCTTTTTTGAGCCCCCCAGAAAATGGAACGTACATGCTGAAGAAGTTAAACATATTGCCGCGTTATGTGCCACGCGTTCATGATTGAGGTGTAAATTAAATTTGTTTACTAGAAACAATTATTACAAAATAGAAGGTACAACAATTTCTAACCTTCGGTGCTAATTAAAATCCTTCCAATGCCTGAATGTCCTCACATCACGCTAGTCTCTTTAAATTAATTCAGTTCGGGTGTAATGAAGTTTAACAGTTTCCAACAATAGTTTAATAATTACTGAACGTCAATAATTTTGATTCAAATCATTTAAAATTTTGCTAAAAGTTCTCAGTGAACATCAAATTTGAACGTACATTTTTGAAAAAGTTGTCATTACCCGATTTTGATTAATGAGATTATAAAACATTTTAATGATATTGGAAAAAATTTATTTTAAGTTCAATTTTATTTTAGAATAAATTAACTTGCTGTGATTTGAAAATTGTTAAATGTTATGGTTTATATCGTATTTTGTTCGGCTTCTGCAGCAGAGAAGTTATTGAACGAGCAGAGTGAGCGACGTGCGACGATCCTCTGTCAGCTTCGTTTTTTATCACGTTATTTGGACATCAATCCAATGTTGTGCTATCAAACCATTCATTTATCATTTAATAATTTGTTATTTGTTTTTAATCATCATTCTGAAAGAAATGTCATCACCCTTTATCAGTTATTATAAAAATGTCCTGACTTGGATGCTTGTAATAGAAACATTGAACTTTGTAATTTTTGTTTTTATTTTGGTATCGTTGTTTTGAATAGCACAGAATTTATCAATATTTTTAGCAAGAATTGTGGTTGAAGTCTTTCTGATAACCCAATGATAGAATTAAAAAGAAAACTTCAATTCAAAGAAAAATATTTTAATTAAGATAATGAAGACATCAAAGTTTAAAATTGAATTTATTTATACTTTGCCGTAATTGTATCGGTAGTAATTTATCGTTGAACAAATTTAAATATTTGTTTGAACAAACGGTAGATGTGGCTTTGCAACGGCCAGCGAATGAATCGTACAGCTGCCACGTGAGAGGCTTTCTTTTATAAAGGCTCTTGTAGGGATGAAGATGAGGACGAAGATACGTGAATGGTGATGATGACGAAGATGATTTCAAGGGATAATGACGAAGAAGATGATGTGGAAGACGATGATTAAGAAGATGAAGGAGATGATGCAGTTCATTTTAACTATAATTATTGCAATGATTTGCATGAATTTAAAGACTAATAAATCTAAACAACTGAATTATTGGTATTTTAACTGTAGGTGACGTTGAATTTTAAAAGGCACTGGTTGCTGCAAGAAAATTTTGAAAAATATAAAATTGGCATATTTGTGTATTTTTAATGTTATAGTTAAGAAGAAATTTGTTATGTTTAATTCACATTTAATTGAATTTTCTGACTATTGCAAAAGAACAACTCGGCACACTCCATTATGCAATTGCATTGTTCCTCGTACTGTTTTATTATCATCTTCAGTTTTTGTTTCTGGTTTAAAACTGTGGTCAAAACTACCGTGTTTATTTTTACAAGTATCTAATTATGGCCAATTAAAAAATGGATTTTTGACTTTTTTTGACTTGTTCTAAGTAATTTCCGCTCATTTTTGGTTTAATTTAACTTGTTTTCATTGGCTAGCTATACAATTTTATTTTTATTTATGTTGTTATTTTCATGTATATTTATGTTTTTATTTGGTTTGGATGGCCATACAATCTCGTTTGAGCTTCTGTGTCTCCATGCTTTTTGCTGAATAAAAAAATTGAAAATGAAATTGAAAATAAAATTTTTTATTTAATGTTTATATAAACATTTTAAAACATTTAATAAAAAATTTTATTCTAACTAAAGTGCTTCAAGGTTGGTACTCGGCTGGCTGGCTGATGTTTCTTATGTCCGTCTAGATGTTGTCAAAAGTGTTAAATAACCTGAATACAAAAATGCGCTACACGTACTTCCAGACGACGACATGCAGGTGTGCTGCACGATAGCGTAAAAGTGAGGTGAGCCACTGCTCCTGCTCACATCGGCAATTTTTCAACCCGGCAGACAGATGGTTTGTTGATAGGTGGCATGCGCTGGGTGGGTGTTTTGAATTTTCCTCCTTTGATGATGTTGGGCAAGGTAATAAAATTGGTTTTGTCGAATGGAATTTTTGAATTTAGGTTTAACTGCATTTTGTCGTCAAAACCTTGTTTCACTTATCTGTCTGTATTTTGCTTTGCTCTATTTCAATGCTCAAAATGGCAGAAAGTTTTTTATTTCAAAAATTTAACGTTTTTATTTTTTAACGTTGTGTTTTTTATGTTGAATCGGTTGAACTAAGCTAAAGGTTTTTATGTGCTACT